TAAAAATGGCATTCTAACCAGGATGTACAAATTGTGACAACCATTAGGTTATTGAGTCAGTAGACCATGTAGGAAAGTTTAAAATGAATATTTAAGTGGAATAATAAAAACAGTTCTCGCTGTTGCCATATGCCAGAAATAATGCCATTAACGTCCTCAAAATAAGGAGTAATGTTTCAATCTGAGTTGTATGTAGTTGTTCGTCTATACAGAACAAATAACTTTTTCCCAAAGCATATAGCCTTCAATAATTGCAACATGAAACCCAAAAATGACTAATTTGTTTACTATTATTAAGGCAAAGCAAAGTAGATGCCCCAACAAATTCGAGTATACTAATAATGATACAATAACAAAACAATAATAGATACTAGTAATGTAGGATTTACGCGGAACTTAGATGAAGGCTATTCGGCTAGGTTAAGAAAAGGGAAAATAAATGTAGTTATGTATTTACAGAGATCGTCATTCCACTTTGGTCAGGTGGAGAGGTTGAGTTCACTGCTGGGGAGGTTATTGGTCTGCGTGTAGGAGGCTCCTCGACCCGATGCTTTAATCGACCTGATTTCTCATCACCTGCTTCAGCTTCCTCACTCCCTTCAGCTTCGTCGCCCTCTTCTTCAACCTCATCTTCCTCGTACTCAACACCCTCCTTATTGGCTGTAACACTCGAAATTACCTCTGGCATGCGACGATGCCGGGGAGGCCCAGATCGTGACCAGTCATCCTTCTCACTCTGAACCCAAGCAGACTCAGACGAGTCATCGTTAGCTATAGAACCTAACATTTTACCCTTCGCAACTACAGCATTAATCTTTTCTGCCTCATCGTCATCTTCACCATCAGCAGAATCATAGGAACGCCATATAGGGAGGTCATATAACTGAGGTCTGTCGATCCAGGTAGCCCGGCTTAAAGGATTCGTTGGCGTGCCAATTTGGTCTGTCAAAGAGAGGTTATGGTAAAAATAAAAATAAGATCAAGAATTAAAAGAATGGATTGGGTAGGAAATTATAAAATTTGATAAATGAATATTTATGTGAGGAAGTAATACAAGTGAAGTAATTTAATGTCAGAGATTTATCATATTGCAATCAGAGGTAAAGTAAGACAGTAGATTTAGAGAGCAAGATGAAGAGACGCAGATGGCTATGTCTGATATTAAGAAAGACAGAAAAAGTGATTCAAAGCACTTATCCAGCCCATTTGGTGTATTTGTAGAAGTATAGCAAAAAGGAAGGAAATAGCTAAACATGTGTCTGGATAAAAGTAGTAGAGGCGACTAGACAGCGCCCTGATGCCCGAAGTGCTCACGAAAGCATAATTCCGAGCGTGTCAAAACTGCACCAGGCCAATATAGCGTTGGTTCGACCTCGTTTTTGCAACTTAGTCGGAGCGTCAGGAAGATCTTGTGGAATGTACCTAGTACCATGTACTCTGCCCCATTTTATCCCGAAAAGATCACCTATGCATGCGTAGTCGAGAGTATCTGTTAAGAGAACCAGGAATAGCATCGAATTACGGCCTGTAATTGTTATAAGCTCATTCCATTAAGGTTCTGCTAATAGGCTCAAGTACTTAGCAATCCTATTTCTTCGCATAGTCTACTTCTTTTTCATACCCTCATTTTTCGAGTAAATTATAAGGGTGAATCCCTTCAAGCTTACCTTTTGGGGTTATTTTAAATTTTAGCACAGATTGGATAGCCTCGTCAAATATGCTCATACTCGTTCAGTTTCGTATTCTCCTTTAAACTCAATTGATTTCTAATTTGCTGGTAAAAGACACAATTTAGCCACCACGTTCAACGAAAGGTCCAAATGTCAGAACATCGATAGCATAAAAGCGTGTGTGACAACCTCCATCCAATGGTGTCTATCTATCTTGATGAAGACCAAACAAGAAAAGTTATAAAAATCTCAGAACCTTATAGAAATAGATATAGTTTGGAAACCCCAAAGTCCCTCTATTAAAGTGAAGTTAATAGTGATATGCTCCGCCTGATTTTAATTATGCTACAGGAACTACAAATGACCATTTGAATAAGTATTGAAATTTTTATGTATGAAACATGCCTCAGCATCTCTCAAACAGAATGCAACACATAGTGCTTTAAAGTAATGTGAAAATATTTGTAAAAATTACCAATGATATCATGATAGCCAAATTAAAAGTAAAGCACCCGAAACGAGGGAGGGGGCTTCGTAAACTGCGTCAACCTGAACGTCGTATAAAAGCCAAACGGCTGTAGTACAACGGGATTCATCCGTCCTCTTTTGGTGAGATCGACCAACGAATCTTTTCTTCATGTACTTTCATACGAAATGAAAGTCTTCCCCAACAAAAGTAAAGCAATCTCATTCTGTGAGTTGTTTGGCAACATTAGCAACACAGTTTGCAACTAGTAAAAAAACACGGCACAGATAAAGCGAATTATCTCTTCAATTTACCGAATATCGATGTATAAAACCCCGAGAGACTAATTTAATCCCTTAACTCTTTAAACTAGACTCCATGATGGTAGATGGGTTGACACACAATAATTCATAAGTTCAGACGGAATACAACAAAATAACTCGCACTTGTTACGTTTAAGTCTGCCAGAATAATCTAGACTCTCCTTAAAAAACTAGAGTAATATCTAATTGCGTATAAGGACAGTTAAAAAGTAGTTTATAAAAATAATATACTAAATAATAATAAAAATAGCGCTAAGAAAATCATATATGATTCTTCTGTATAGAGAAAACAAGAGATCTTACTATTCGATAAGATTAGTGACTGTTGAGGGTTCTCGCCATTGGCCCCAGTATTGGCGACTTCTTGCCTGCTCGTCTGAGACATCTTCTGAAGCTGGCTAGGATGCATCTGCTGATTAGGGTTTGGCCGAGAAAGGTGTGGAGGAGGTTGCTTATAATGTTTACGGACAGCAGATGTGACACCTTTGGCCACATGTGTCTGTATGGCAGCTGTCAGGGCAGTAGTTGAGCTGCTTGCGGCTAGTATCATCTGGTGTTGTTGTAGACTAAGGCGCTGAATATCCGCTTGTAGAGCTGACAAGCTGTGTTGTAATTCAACCAATCCAGAGGTTGTTGAAGCCGCATAGGTGTCCGAATTGCCAGAGCAAAATAGAGGATCATCATGCAATCTGTCACCAGAATGCGATAAGTGCTGCTGATGCTGCTGTGATGTTTGATGCAATTGCAATTGCCGAATGCGACGTTGCAGCTGTTCATGTAATTCGACGAGGTGAGCTAGTTGATCTTGGTTGGCCATGTACTGCATTTCACGGCTTTCAAACCTCCAGTCAGGTGATCTACCATCACCTTTCAAAGATAGGTCTTTGTAATATCTCGTATTGTAATCTTCATCGTCCTCAACTTCTGCGACTGTATCATCTCCTTCAATATCTTCCTCGGATTTACTTTGGTCTTCATAAGCTTCCTCATGTGATCGTTTGCTATCACAGCGACCAGGATGAAGACGTAGTTGCTGTGTAAAT